TAATGACACAAGACACTTAATTGTAATTTGTTGAAATTCATTTACGTAAGAATTAGCTATTAAAATGTTAAACTAATTGCTAAAGTTATTAAAACCATTTAATTTTGGGATAATTGCAAAAATACCATTTTTGGTGTGTCCATATTAAAAAATGCTACTATAGGTTATTCATTTGCAAAATTGCCACTAATTAAAGATTTTTAAACCATATTTTGACCCGAAACAAATCCTAAACCCTCAAAACTAAACCATAATACAATATAGTTAACCCAAACATATATTATATATTGAGTAAATGATTTTTAAAAAGTGACATTTTTGAAAAGTGTCGTTTCTCAAAAATTTTCTATAATTTTTATTTTCTCTTCGTTAAATAAATTAAAAAACCAACTGTAAAAAAAAATAATACAATCAAACATCAATTATTCTCTCCTTAAAATTTAAATTTCTAAGGAAATAAAACATAAAGCTGCATTCCAGCAATGTTGAAATGATGTAGATGTCTCGATACAAGCAAAACATACTACAACTTGTCTGATCACTTGATTTCTTTTACAAATGTATTTGATGTTAATTTTTAAATCTACGTAACGCGTGGACAATCTCTAGATAAATATAAACGTAAACGCAAAAGCAAAATGTACAAATTATGCCCTCAAGCCTACTTTTTTAAACGTTCACATATATATCAAATTAAAGTTTTATTATGGTTCTAACTGATATCTGCGTAATTGCAAAACATTGAAGAATATGAAGAATGGCTTAACTTTTATAATTTGAAGAATAATGACTAAAAGGCAAAGGTTTAAGAATTTTTTTTTCTTTCTCCTTTATTAGGTACTAGAAATTATATCTTTGGTTTAATGTTGGATTAGTCTAAAACATTAGATTGACTTAACTTACTAGAAAATAAATGAGGGAAACAATTCTAGAGGTGATTACTATATTTGGAGTGAGGATTTTCGTAAGAGAGGAGCACATCGCCCACCTGTGAAGAGCCTTCAAGGCAAAAACCGTTGGTTCGGTTTTATTCGTCAAATAGTGCGGTACGAAATGAGCTTGATCCAATATCAACCGTTTCCTGCAAACGACCACCTCTCCAGTACTCATCTCGTAATCTCTCATATGTCGCCAGAACAAAATCACAACTCTCTAGCGGCAGGTGTCCATCTTGGAAGTCTGTGTTGGTAATACTATCTAAAGTCATCAGTAGTGGTGACAACCAGAGTAGATCCACCTGTTAGCCTCGGTGCCCAAGTTATATCGGGAAGAGCAGTTCTTGATTTAGTTAGAAAAGCAAATTTATACGCCACGACCATATTTGTAATCTCCGAACTTGAATTCGAAGGGTTATGACCAAGTAGGATTTCGTAGTCATGATCCATCATTTTATTGATTGTTTCCACATGAATGCAAAAACGTTTTTCATGAGGTATTAAGCTCATTTGTTGAAAATTATTAGGGGCGTTAAACTAATAAATATCAATTGTTTAAAAAAAAATTAAATAAACCATGGTGGGCAAGTGCCCCTCCTTTGATGCTCTAGATTCGCCACCCCTCTTTCCACATCACATATTTCTGAAGCTATGATGATTGATTAGTTAATAGATATAGTAAAACTAATATTGAAAATTCAGTAAAACAATTTTTTTCAATTACATATTTTCAATGTAAGATATTGATAATATTTTTAAAGAAAAAAATGTGCAGAGTTTTTAGTTTACTGATCCGTATTATTAATGAAGTAGCCGTGTTATAAATTTGCTTTTATATGTGCTACAGCGGAAAAATTTTTTTTTTTTGCTTTTATAATGCCCAGAGGCCCAACAAGTAATGGGCTTTTAATGTCTAGTCCATTACCTATATTAAAAAGTTAGAAACACGTCATCTGTTTTCATTCTCTCCAATTAATCCGACGTGGCACAATATCCAAACGGGTCACCGGGTAGAAGCAAAGCAATGATTCAAAATTAAAATCCATCAATTTTTGCGCGGTAACCCGGGGATAAAGGAGAGATATCCCCAAAGTAAAGGGACCAAAAAAGAAAATTAAACAAATAGAAAAGAGACGCAGTTTTGGATCAAACGGTAGAGACGAACGACGTGCCTCCAACTCTCTCATCACTAATAAAATCATGGCGACATGTTATAATAATTATTGCTTCAGTTTTGATTTTCCTTTTCATTATTTTCCCGGGAAAAGAAAAGAAAAACGGAGGGAGAGAGAGGACCTCCATTAACGTGTTCTTTACATTTGACATCGTCAAATTTATCATTCTCCATAGTAGTAATGGCACGCATTTCTCCTCTCTCTCTCCAGCCTTTTAAACCCTAATTTTTTTTTATTTGTTAGTAGTAAAAATCTTTTGTTTTGTTTTTTGGGATTTTATTTCAATTAGTTGTTTCCAGTTGCAGAAAGAGATATATAATTTTTATTTTTCTCCAACTTTGTGTTTTTTTTTTTTGTTTGTTGATTATTCAATTTGTTTCATTAAGGGGGTTTGGTGAGAGAGACGATATCTTTGGTTCTATGGAGTGATTTTGATTTTTAAGAAGCAAAAGTTTTAGTTTTTTTGTTTTGCTAAAACAGAGAGATTTCTAGGTTTAAGGGGATTTGACTGTTGTTTCTGAGAAACAGAGACAATCAGAAACAGAG